GGGGGGGGGGACTAGTATTATAAAGCAAGAAATGCTAGCCGGACTCATGATATGTCTTACAGTGCCTTTTGATACATATAGACTGTGTGACAGAGTTTTGAGTCGTATGTACTATGTGCATCATTGAACGTAGTTGATTATTTCAATAAGAGTTAAATGGCATTTGCAACTCAATTATAGGACTTATAAATGCCGAGGATTAGAAGTGTTACAAGAGTGTAACAAATACAAAAAGAAGGGGGGGGGGGGAGATAAGGATGATAGACGTTTGATAGGGAAGAAGAAGCAAACCACACCAGAGCACCCACCAGTCCCCCACCAACTCTTATTACACCAGCACACCCTGGGTTTAATAAATATGAGGAACAAGGCCCAATACCTAAGCATAGTAAATATTTAAGGCATAATCTAATACAGGGCGCCCACTGGGGGATCGGGACAGGTCGTGGCGGTTTGCTAACCAGATTGAGGGCGCGAAGTGGCAATCGTGGCACAAGCCGGTCGTGCCCGACTCATCGGCTCAAAAAATAAACCTGTCTCCGTCGTTTTATGCAAGAAAAATTCTGAAATTATGCAAACTGAGCCCAAAAATGTCAAATTATGCGATTCTGTTAATTTTAACAAAGAATGATAAAGGAAAATTATCAATAATTAAGCAAAAAAAATGATTAAATTTTGCTAAATTAAGCAGGGTGCATAAAACCACGTGGACAGACAAACGTGTTTGTTTTCAGGCAACGAGTGGGGCGATCGCCCCCCAACCCGACCCGGTCCGACCCGACCCGACCCGATCCCATCCGCAATGGGCACTCCGTTTTAGATCGCTTGTACCTGCGGCTTGTGACCGAACTCCATCTGTTTGACTTTGTCCATGATGCCTTTGAGGTTGTCAAGGGACACGGGGCCATCACAAAGGTTGTTCCCTCCTCGTACAATCCTGGCAGGGGTTTTAGGAATTTAGTAAAAGTTTTCCTGCATGTGCAACTCAAATAGATCAGATAAGTGTCGAAAATTAGTACCACTAAATGAAAGACCTTTTTTTTTTAAGGAGGAAAGATACGGACAATAGATATTTGATTGGAAGAAAGGAGGACATGTAAGTACTATAGATACTATAGATGCATGGTAGGAAAGGAAAAGAGATAAAGACGATAGATGTTTGATTAGAAAGAAGAAGTAGACACAAGGATGATAGATTCTTGATACGACAGAACAGGAGCAAAACTGCCAACCAGCCACAATCACAACTTTTAAAAATGGCAATTTGTAATAGAATACTATAAATTATGACAAATGGGGGTGGGGAGGGGTAGAGTCACTTTCAACAATGACGGGTTAAAATCAAAATCAGACAACTCACTTGTTTCCACCTATGTCTACCAAGTTGACAGTTTTTGAGGCTCCTGGTTCAAACCTCACTGCAGTTCCCGCAGGAATATTCTAGAGGCAAAAATAAACAAAAGTTTGCGTAGTTTCACATTGGAAATAGTTTATTGCCTTTCATATTTCTTACCAAATTATGATGATTGTAACCTTTTTCTATTTGCTGATTTGATAGGCTGTAGATCCTTCCCGAACCCCAAATATAATAACCCCGGGAACAGAGAAAGGTGAACCAAACAGATAAAGCAACAAATCATGATGATTCACATAAACTTGTTTTTAAGTTAAAACCCAAACAATAATGAAGAAAGTGTGTGTGTGTGTGTGTGTGTGTGTGTGTGTGTGAATATTGTTCATACATGCAATTATGTAAAGCGCCTAGGGCTGTGCTCACACTTCGTCCCCCTTGTAATAAGACCGACTAACCCCTTTCGAGTAAATTCTAATACAGGATACAAAACAAAGTCAAACCAAACCAACGTATTTACGGTTTCATCACTCAGCAACTTGATGGCCAGCTTTCTTTCTATCAATCTCGGAGCATTTCTCATCAACATTCTGACCTGACCTGTCATTATATGAGAATATGAAAGGGATAATAAAACTTACTATCGATTCGTCAAAAAAAAAAAGAAAGAGACAATTAACATTTTGTGGGTTAACCGGTCTTATCTCGAAGTCGAAGGTTTCAAAAGAACCCACCAGTCGCTTCCCATAGGCTGCAGCCCGGTCAAAGGTCAAATACTTGTTGGTCTCGATGAAGTGGTAATGGCTGCCGATCTGCAAAGACATTTCATGAGGTTAGGGGGAAATTGACACTTATTGTGATACTTATAATAGCAGTAACGATGACGATTATATAATAATAATAATAATAATAATAATAATAATAGTAATAATAATAATAATAATAGTAATAATAATAATAATAATAATAATAATAATAATAATAATGATGATGATGATGATGATGATGATGATGATGATGATGATGATGATGATGATGATGATGATGATGATGATGGAGGCGGTTGGGAAGAAGAAGAAGAAGAAGAAGAAGAAGAAGAAGAAGAAGAAGAAGAAGAAGAAGAAGAAGAAGAAGAAGAAGAAGAAGAAGAAGAAGAAGAAGAAGAAGAAGAAGAAGAAGAAGAAGAAGAAAAAGAAGAAGAAGAAGAAGAAGACAGAAGACAGAAAGATAGAAAGAAGAAGAAGGAGAAGAACCAACACCAACCTGGATAGGTCTGTCACAGAAGCTGACTACCTCCAGCATCACTGATTCTCTCCCCTGGTTGATGGTGATCTCCCCTGGCAGGGGCAGCAACTCGCCCGGTGTGACCCTTACAGCTGAAGAGACTGTCGTTTTCTCTGACGTCGAAGGCTGAGGATGAAATGCTGTGGGTTTAAAGCCTCTATTAACACTATTACGTTCGTACGCGATGGGGTCATTTTGTACCCCCGGGGTTGCATTCTTCACATTTTAGAATACTTCCAGTCCGAAGATCTCTTTGATACTTTCAGTATTTTTTTCAAAAAATCCTTTTGACAGACTTCTATGCAAAGCGTACGGATCGAATTAACGAGTAAATTTCCTCTTTGAAAGTGGTGGAACAGAGAGTTCCCCACGTCGTATGGATGCGATCGACTTACGGATAGGGTTAAGAGGCGGAACCACCGAGTTTAACGTTCATCTCCGAAAGGGCTGAGCCAAAATGAGAAATTCGTGTAAAGTGCCTTTCCCCGAACCCACAACCTCACGATAACGAGTCCGGTAGTCTAACCACTGGGCTACCGACGCCTTAAGGCTGAGGGTGGAGAGTAAAGTATAGACGAGTATGTCTTACTCCATCCGGATGGTCGCGGATCTGAAAGACATTACTCCAACCCTATTGTGACCCCATTGTGACACGCACTTTGACCTTCACTGTGCGTGACAGGAAATCTGTGCAATAGGTCAACCATTCCAGTTCGTTACGTTATATTATCCAAAGAATTTTACAGCTGTATCAAATAGGTCATATTATACGTGCCGAAGATTACGGGTGTTACAAGAGGGTAGCATACAAAGAAGGGCAATAGATGTTTGATTACATTGATTGATTGATTGATTGATTGAGTAGGCGTTTTACGGCATTATGTGATGCATGATTACAAAGAAGGGTTAACCACCAGAATGGTTGCTGATCCAGCATCAAACAGCAATGGAACATGAAGAGCAGCCCAATCTAGCTGGAAGGGCTGGTTCTTCCCCCTTCATCTCCAACAAAAATAGTCAAAGGCTTACGCAAAACGTTGATTCACTGTAACGTGGTGCTGATGTTCATCGATACAAAAATTGCCAGCCGATGACCTGATGCCTCGTGGCTACCCACGACATGGTAACCTTTTGATCATGCAGGTCTTTCTCATAAACTGTATCTGGATTTGCTGATTCTTAACAAACGTAGTTAATGCGTTTATGCTATTCCCATAGCCTTTGGTGTAGTAATGGGTATCGTCAGAAAACTGGAGTCATTGGATAAAATGTTCATCCTGACTGAGCTGATCGAGGGACCAACGCAACGTGTCCACTCTGTCGTCCAGATTTTCTTCACAGAGTCGTCGATTACTTTGATTTTTTTTTTTCGTTCTTAGCCCCCAAAAATGCTTCATATTTTGTCTCAAAGATTTCATGAGAATCGCAACCCCAAGACTACTACTCCGTGTTCATTTTTCTTTGGTGCTTCGACCACCGAGTCACAACCCACCCTTATCTTTTCAAAAATATGAGTTGTTTTATAGGTCTCCCTTTGTGTGTTTTTCAGGGGTAAGAATTCTAGTTCTCATTTTATATGGACCCAAATCTTTCAAAACTTGCAGACCATTCCATTTAAAAAAAGGATATTTCGTTTGGAACACCATGATCTTTAGGGATATTTATCATGTATTCACGAGCAACTAAAGCACGGGTTGATTTGTGAAAATTGTACTGGGATAGGCTGCTTTATTATATTGCTTTTGTGCAGCAGCAATTAAAACAGAAACAACATAAAATAATATATCTTGCTTCCTTAAAACATTTGTGTCAGTTGGGTCATCTTTGGGCAAACTTTTTTCTGGTCGACTGGTTCATGTTTCTGTAGCATGTGTTTATAAATAGTGGACAAAAAACAATCTACCTCAGGAATATTTTCGTCGTCCTGGTGGAATACTTTAACGTCTGGCACAGGTAGGAAAGTGCCGTACAGTGCCAGGTTCAAATCTCCGTCTTGTCGGACGATGGGTTTGTGGACTGTCACCTGTGATTGGGGGGGGGGGGGGGGGTGGATACAGCGGGAAAAAAACTTGAACGGGAAAAAAACTTGAAGGCTGTATCTTAGGCTCACCTCACTATAAGTTAGGTAAGACATAATAATATACAATTCGCTACGGGGGGGGGGGGGGGGGGTAATTACAAAATACTGTTAAGACTTTCCTCAAACATTTCACTCGTCTACGTTTTGTACTCATTATTCACGTGAGGTTATTCCTTTACTTGACTTATCGCAAAATAGTTCTCTGATCTTGTCAATACTACATTTATATCAGTGGACTTTTAAAAAGTGGTGGGTTTAAAAAAAAAATAGCAGGAGATGAAACACTAACAAACTTGGTCTAGGTGCTTTAGAACACATTTGACTCATTATACAGAATACCAGCTTTTACTTGTGTTTCAGTTTTAATAAGAGTAGTTTTATGGCACTTGCAACAAAAGAAGGTAGTATAAGTACCGAAGATCAGAGGTGTTGTAGTAGAGTTACAAGCATAAAAAGAATGTGGTGATGCCAGATAAGGACGATAGCAACAACATTATGTTATGTAAACGCCGACGATTCGAGCTGTAATAAGAGATTAACATTACACCAGGAAAGGAGGAAGAGAGACAGGGACGTGAGGTGCTTGATAAGAAAAATGGAGCAAACGCCACCAGAACACCCGCCAGCCACCCGTACAAAATAGGAACATGTGTAAGCCTACGTTGGTACTTCACATAAATAAAATGCTTTACGTGCTCTTACCAGTTTTGTTCCGTCCGGGAACGTCGCCTCAACTTGAACTTCTTTGATCATGGCCTCCACCCCAGGCATTACTTGATTTCGCCCTGAAACAGTGGAAACGACGCGGGAGTTGTGAAAATTGTGAATCATGTTAATGTTGAGTTTGAGTATGTTCAGTTTAGAATGATTTTTACGGCACTTGCAGCACAACAAGGTCATGTAAGTCCCGAAGGTTAGAGGTATTACAAGAGGGTTTAAACAAACACAAAAACGAAGGAAGAAAGAAAACAACAATAGATGTTTGAAAAAAAAAAGAAGAGGTGAAACAGTATGGGTTTAACGCCCCTATCAACACTATTAGGTTATTTAAGAGGCAGGGTCTCCCAAAAGACCGAGCCAAGTTGGAATTTCGTGTAAAGTGCCTTTCCCAAGGACAAAACGTCAGACCGAGCTGAGGCTCGAACCCCCGAACCCGCAATCTCACGATTACGAGACTGGTAGCCTAACCACTAGACCACCGACACCACGGAAAGAAGAGGCGGAGTCTGAATAAAGAGAAGCACATTGACACAATTACGGTCCCGTGGTGCAGGGCAGAAGCAAAACAGGTAGACAGAAACAACAACAGAGTCGCCACCCCCACCCTCTTCCCTATCCTTTTGTTGTTGTTGTTGTTGTTCATTAGCATTCAGCTTAATCAAGGGTACTACTGCACTTAGATAAAACAGTTGGCTAACGAATTTGCCTGTGGGTTGTGGACAATGAATATAAGACAAACCTATCACACCAACAGTTTTAGTTTAGATTTATAAGAAGTTTTATGGAACTTGCAAAATAATTAGATCATATAAGTGGCCAACATTACAGGTGTAACTAGAGAGTAACACACAAAGACAAGAAGGAAGAGAGATAAGAACTTTTAGATGTTTGATAGAAAAGTATAAGGAGCAAGCCACGCCAGAGCACCCACCAACCACCCACTCACACCAACAGGACACAAATTATTATTTAGTCGTGAAAAGTTGTACCAGGGCACAAACCGAGACCGACAAATTTACTGCCTCGTGACCAGACTGTGTCCGTTGTAATAATATGACCTCCATCGGGGCATGTGCCATCGGTAGTCTGGTCAGTGTGGTTAGGCCATAGACCTATAATTAGCTAATTATAGGTCTATGGGTTAGGCTAACTGACTCGTAATAGGGGGTGCCCACAAGCGCAATCTGGTCGGGTCGGGTCCGGTCGATTTGATAGTCGGTACTAGCCTAATTGAGGGCGCAAAGAAAGTTATCGATGGGTTGCATTCCAGGCTGCCGTAGCACTGCAATAGCGAACTGCGGAAAGGAGCCCTCTAAGCCATTGAGGTTAAAGGTTTCTCTACTTTAACTTCCAGGTCGTCGGGTACTATCGCGTCGTGGTTTTTGTGTTCACTGAAACCACCAGAAAAGGACCCGACCCGACCCGATCGCGCTAATGGGCACCCCCTATAATCGTGAGATTGCAGGTTTGGGGATTTGAGCGTCAGCTCGGTCCGGCGTTATGTCCTTTCGAAAGACCCTTTACAACCAATTCAAATTTGGCTCTGTCCTTTCGGAGATGGACATTAAACTCGGAGGTCCCACCCCTTACATAAGAAAAACAGTGTTAATACGGGCGTTAAACTTATACTATTTCTCCATTTCTTTTTCAATCCGAGCTGTGCCCGTGGTAAAAGACAGATACATAAACCTACCATGCCAAGATTAAATTGTAATAATATAACCTCAATCTGGACTGCGCCCGTGGTAAAAGACAGATACATGAACCTACCACACCAAGACCGAATGGTAACATGACCTCGATTCAGCCTCGAGCCCCTTCACGCAAACTTCACATGTACATGTACAAATTCAGCGTGACTCCCAGATGGTCACGTTTCTTCTCAAGTCTCAAGACCCAGCGGCTCTGCTGGTGTCATAATTTCTTCCAGTAAAAGTACGTGCTTCTTGCGGCATGGGTAACAGGATAAAGAACAAGAATTTTTTGGTAAACCCAAGAATAGTATTATTTTTAAAAACAGTAGTAAAAAACAAGAGGAAGTAGAGAGGGGAAAAAAAGTCATCTTCAAATCTCCAGGAGACGGCGACCCACCAACCCCCTCTCTACCTCTTTCCATTCTACAAACACACACACACACACACACACACACACACACACACACACACACACACACACACACACACA